GCTACGCTGTAAGCGTATTTACAATAGTTGTTATATATACTTAAATGACTCGATTCAGCTACGCTTTGTTGTATTTGAGCACCCTCGTCTCGAATTAGAATTTGCCCACTGCGGCGTATCCAGATGGCTTTCTTTATTTGCCGCTCTCTCTGTCTCTATACCAGTCAATCACATGATTCCTCTGTGTGGCATGTTCTGTGATTGTCGATTTATTTATCTGGGACTCCGACTGTTTCCTTTCTGATCTGGCGAATTTCCTGCCTTCTTGGGTTTCTGTATCTTTGCGGTGTTCACAAAGGCGGACCCCCAACACGCCTTCCAGTCTTTCCGATTTTGTATACGCATTCTGCGATGTTTTATTAAGGTGTTTTATCCTTCGGGTGTACAAGGATATTGCGAAGCGTCTTGTGGGGCTTCATGTCTGTTTCTTTGCCATTACCGCGATATCTCCTCTAGATGGTTTCGGATATATCCTTTATACGCGGGATGACCACTTGACCTTTGCTTTTGTTCTTATCCTTGATTGGCATCTACTTGTTCTTCCCATCATTTTGACACTGTTTTTGTACCCGTGCTATGGCCCCTTCCGGATATGATATGCACACGTTCTCATTGACCCAGCGATATGAATATACTCTTGTGTTTTGTCCTGTTGTTCTGTGACTATTGTATCACATCTATTGAGCAATGTCCGTACGACGCCTAACTTCTGGTGCAAAGGATGGTGACATTTGAAGTTCAGGTATTGGTCTGCATGGGTCTTTTTTCCTTAGACCAATACCTTCACGGTTCCGTCTTCTTTTTTTACCAGTAGAGTGTCTAGGAAGGGCATTGCGTTGGTTTCTGTTTCTTCCTCACTTGTAAATTTGTTGTTGTCAGTGGCATCTATGGTGTTGATAATTGGGGTCAAATCTTTCTGTGAACGCCTTCTTGATTATCTTAAGTATGTCGTCAACATATCGTTTCCATAAGCTAGGCTTGCATTCTATGGGGGCAGTGTCTAATGCTTCTTTCTCCAGATGTTCCATGAACAAATTGGTCACAATGGGAGACACTGAACTACCCATAGCAGTGCCGAAGCGTTGTTGATCGATGTTTTTTCGAAAACTAAAATATGTTGTTGTCAGCACAAATTCGAGCAAATCCATGATGTCCTGAATCTTGAGGTTAGTGTTTTTGCGCCAGGATCTGTCTAATTCAAAGCGATTCCGAATGATTCAGTCAATGCGTCGTCAATGGATGTGTTGGTAAGAGAGACAACATCACGTGAAATGAATTCTTCGTCTTCCTGAATCATGATGGAAGACATAGCTTCCGCTAGGGCTCCAAGACTCTTGCACATCTATGACCAAGAATTAAACAAAGCGTAGCTGTATCGAGTCATTTCGGTACATATATAACAAATTTTGAGCATACGCTTACAGCGAGCCGAAATCAACATCGATTTTGTGGACAACACGTACACATGTTACACCTTTGTGTGCATACGCTTCACTGGTCATTTGTCTGATGAAGGTAATAGTGTACATATCGTACTAGTCATCGAAACGTCACATAGAAATTGTATTGGTTGTGTAAAAGGAACTTTTCATAATCCATACTTACCAACCTGAAGAAAATATTTAGAAAAATTAAGATAAGTCCTCTACATATAGAGCTACCCGTGACTAAGGTTAGTCGTTTATATGTGGGGCTAGTAGTGACTAAGGTTAGTCGTACACATATGGAGCTAGTAGTGACTAAGGTTCGTCGTCCACATATGGAGCTAGACGTGGTCTACAAAGGGAGCTACACGTAACTAAGGTTAGACGTCTACATATGGAGCTAGTAGTGAACTCCGTTAGTCGTGTACATATGGAGCTAATAGTGACTAAGGGTAGTCGTTTACATATAGTGCTAGTAGTGACTTACGTTAGTAGTCTGCATATGGCGCCAGTAGTGACTTACGTTTTTCGTCTACATATGGAGCTAATAGTGACTAAGGTTAGTCGTTTACATATGGTGCTAGTAGTGACTAATGTTAGTCGTCTACATATTGTGCTAGTAGTGATTAAGGTTAGTCGTCTACATATGGAGCTAGTCGTGGTATACAAAGGGAGCTACACGTAACTAAGGTTAGTCGTCTACATATGGAGCTAATAGTGACTAAGGTTAGTCGTCTACATATTGTGGTAGTAGTGACTAAGGTTAGTCGTCTACATATTGTGCTAGTAGTGATTAAGGTTAGTCGTCTATATATGGTGCTAGTAGTGACCAACGTTAGTCGTCTTCATATGGCGCTGGTGAGACTTATGTAAGTCATCTACATATGGCGCTAGTAGTGACTAACGTTTGTTGTCTACATATGGTTCTGGTAGAGACTAAGGTAAGTCGTCTACATATGGTGCTAGTAGTGACTTACGTTAGTAATCTGCATATGGCGCTAGTAGTGACTTACGTTAGTCGTCTACATATGGCGCCAGTATTGACTTACGTTTTTCGTCTACATATCGTGCTAGTAGAGACTAAGGTTAGTTATCTACATACGGCGCTAGTAGTGACTTAGGTAAGACGTCTACACATGGTGCTAGTAGTGACCTACGTTAGTCGTCTACATATGGCGCTAGTAGTGACTAAGGTTAGTCGTCTACATATGGCGCTAGTAGTGACCTACGTTAGTCGTCTACATATGGAGCTAATGAGACCTTTGTAAGTCATCTACATATGGCGCTAGAAGTGACCTACGTTTTTCGTATACATATGGTGTTGGTAGAGACTATTTTCTGACGTCATTTTGCAAATATTCCAATACACCACATGGAATCTATTATGAAAAATATTTATATATTTTAGCAAAGTGTAGAGGATATATGATGAAGGGCTTCTAGCGTTTTTAGAATATTTTCATCTGTTTGATATATTGGAACGAATATGCATGTGCGTAAACATGTCTTCAAATATTTTGACTTGCAGAAATGTATGGTACATATATGCTCGATGAACGAACAATATTATGCATTTACATCTTATCGGTGCCGTTAAGTATAATAGGAACTGAAATTATTAACATTTGAAACATTATAGTTTGGTTACTGAGCGAGTAACATTTACGATACAAATAAGCCTTTATTGAAGTTATTTTTTTTAGTTTCAGACATTTCGCAGAAGAAAAACAATAATAGATGAAAGCAAAGATTCGTGGACTTCTCCATTATGACGTCAGATCCGGACATCCGCTGGGAAAGGGAGATTACCCCGATCAGACGGCAGAGTCGTATCGTCAAGTTGTGCAAAATGCGGCTTCGTTGTTAAAAGTTGGTGGTCATTTTGTTGTTTTGGGTCTCCTTAACAACATTCATTATGATGTTGGACGTTTCAAATTAATGTGTGTTTCATTGTTGCAAGATGGAATTGAAAATATATACAGAACTTGCAGATTCCGCATAATCAATATCACTCGAAAGGCGAGGAAGACAACTGAAAACCAAGGACGTGCAGTGAAAGCTTTGCGACACATGCCGCCAAGACAATATAGATTGTTCTTTGCTGAGTATGATGTATTGAGAAAATGTAAAGACAAGTTGAGAGTAGACTAATTCTTACTTCTAGGTTGGATTTTAGTGCACTAGACTTATACTAGTAGTGCATACACTTGTGGTGCACTACTACTGTACAGGTGATGCCAAGTAGGTACTTATGATTTTACATGTATTGTACAGGTATGTTACCTCCCATATATATTTGTAGTCATTTGAAGGGTTATGTAGTCTTTTATACTTAAAGATAAAAAATAATTCATCTTACAGGTATACGTTTTTGTAATAAAGGGATTATAGTATGTACAGTCGTATGCTAGTCAGATGAATGTATTCAAATTATATAGTGGAATAATCAGGTGAATGTAAATTTAATGATTGAAAAGTGTACAATACAAGTGTCCATCGAATCCTTATTTCAAATGAGTTGTTCAGAATAGTATATTAAATAGATATATAGCTATCCTGTTTTTTATGTAAGATCGAGGCGACTTGCTTTGATTTGTCTGAAAGTAATTTAATGTATTGCTTGAAATGTAATATTGAAGGGGAAGGGTTCACTATTACCAGAAATGTGTCTGCTTTAAACTGTTTCGATGGGAATTAATCTTCTTTGCTTCAATATAGCTATTATTATATATATTACATTCATAAACGTATTTGTATATATAAACATGTTACTTGGCTAGGAAAACACTAAAACATTGTCTGTTCATTATGATTTTTTTATAAAATATGTCGAAATATAAAGAAGAATTCTTGTTGTGGAAGATATAAATCAACACTTATGCAAGATATATGGAAGAATATGCAGTCAACGTACATAATGTATTAATAAATTTAGATTCCGCCAATCTGTAACACTTCTATTTCCATGTGAAAAAGGAAAAAAATTAGTAAATATTAGTAAATATTAGTCTTGAAAACAACGTCAGGAACAGAAACGAGAATAACTTCACACAATTTTGATGACACTTTAAGATAGAACAATTCTGGCAAAGTAGTTTAATGGTGAATTGGCTACACTTTTTCAGTTAAAACTGATAATTATGATAAACCCTTGTGTATATGGTATGTAAACTACATAAGATGATAGGCGGTTATATAAGTATAAATGTAAGTTTTTGCATAATATTGATTTTGCATTCCGAATCATACCGTTCAGGTTCATCGTTTCGCACATAACCTTGATTTAATTGATGATGATGCAATCAAAAGAAAGATAACTGGGATTTTTAGTCTCCTCTTATCAAACTAACACACTGTCATAAATCAGAACTATTTCAAAAATAAAAAAATCTTTTAAAACTGTCAACCTTCGTAGGAACATCATCAAAACAGGTGTGCTGCACATGCTCACTGATTACAACGTCATGTCTGTGTCTTTTTATAGTTCTTAATAAAACAATAGCGTTCCTTTCTATTTCAGAGGATTGTAAATATATAATAAGTCTCATATCTAAGAAGTACAAACGAACAAAGGATAAAGATTTATGATTTTATTGCAATGTTTTTGTCTCAACAATGCTTCATCAACTGTCATAGTAGTCTCTCCTTAGTATTTACCACCTAAAACAAGATATAAGGTACATGTATAAATAATCGGATTGTGCACATTCAGTAAAACCTTAGCAGTTAGGTATTGTTTTGAAGCTATTGTTGTTTGTATTTCGTATGTATTTGTTTCTTATTTTTAACACTTAATTCATTATTACAATTCTAAAAATGGAAACAGCCAATATATACATATAGCTAATGCTGTTCATACATTTCGAAACTTGATTTCAATTCAAATGTATTTTGTTTTAATCTGATGATCAACATGCGGCGCAATCACATGTCAAATTCACATCATAATTCTTTTTTTTAGAGAGAAATATTAAAAAGATACTTATTTTGAAAATCCAGTTTGAAAACAAATTAGTTTGAACGTATTTATAAGTATAAGTATTATATAAGTGACGTTCTTGATAGTTCTCATTGGCTTCCTTTAGTAGTATACAAATATATACATACCACAAAGTAACATTAACTGATGAACCCACCTGATCCACCTTTTCCAGCCCCTCCAGCGCTCACTCCTCCAAATCCACCACTTCCTCCAGCTCCGCCACCGCTCATTCCTCCAAATCCACTACTACCTCCAGCTCCGCTACCGCTCATTCCTCCAAATCCACTACTACCTCCAGCTGCTCCACCACTCATTCCTCCAAATCCACCTTTTCTTCCAAAACCTCCACCACTCTGTCCTCCGAATCCACCACTTCCTCCAGCTCCTCCACCACTCATTCCTCCAAATCCACTACTACCTCCAGCTGCTCCACCACTCATTCCTCCGAATCCACCATTTCCGCCGAAGCCGCCGCTACCCTTACCTCCGAGTCCACCTTTTCCTCCGAAACCTCCACTGCTCATTCCTCCGAATCCACTACTGCCACCGAATCCACCATCTCCGCCGAAGCCACCACCACTCATTCCCCCGAATCCACCACTCATTCCTCCAAAACCTCCACTACTCATACCTCCAAATCCACCGCTTCCACTCAATCCACCTTTCCCAACAACTCCGGCACTTCCGCCGAAGCCCCCGGTACTTCCGAATCCACCACTTCCTCCACCACTCATTCCACCGAATCCACCGGCTCCCCCGAATCCACCACTTCCTCCAAAACCTCCACTACTCATACCTCCAAATCCACCGCTTCCACTCAATCCACCTTTCCCAACAACTCTGGCACTTCCGCCGAATCCCCCGGTACTTCCGAATCCTCCACTTCCTCCACCAGTCATTCCACCGAATCCACCGGCTCCCCCAAATCCTCCGCTTCCACCAGATCCTCCACTTCCTCCTCCACTCATGCCGCCAAATCCACCACTACCTCCGCCATACTTCCCTATAATGATGTAATGATTATTTTTTATTAATTTGAGTGTAATTTTCTTTGTCTAAAAGCCAACTTTGACATTCAATAAGTGGCTTTATAACTTGCATACACAATTATATGTAACATATTTAAGCTGATGCAAAGCCAAGAAAATTAATATCGTACGTGCTGTTTCTTTGATATTAACCATATCATGAATTGAATAATGTAATGAAACAGCGCTGAGAGATTGGTGCTTTGAAGATGTTCAACTCTTAAACGGTACATTTTTATCAGAAAAGATGCAAAGCAATCGTTGGTTAACAATAACAAACATATTAATTAAAAAAGGGGGAAATACTAATAACAGTCACCATCGTCGTAAAAACCTACCTGCAGCGTTGACGCTGACCAGTAAGAGAGCTGCTAAACATATGTAGGTATTCATGTCGTTGAATCTGAATAAACAACCATATAACATATCATTACAGGGGTTTTATATGATGTTTTAAAGAACACTTTTTCCAATAACTTAAACCTAAAAATTAATATTGTTTGTGTCCGATACATGGATCGAACAATATTTAAAGGTAATTAGCAAGGTAAATTTTACGTTATATATAAATTATTATGAATTGGTGATGGACGTAGCAATCACGTTGGAGATTATCAAGTTATATATATAGTGCATCATGCAGCTGTATCGCCATTTCATAGTTGATGATATGGGCCAAAAAGTTTGGAAATCCAACTGTTAACTATCTTAACTAGCGTTGAAACAGGTGAATACATTTGAGGGAAATTCACCTTTGGCTTTAGCAGGGTTTAGTTTCAATAAATAAAGTTTATTATTGTTATTATAAAAAAAAAAAATAGTTTTCTGAGTTTCAAAAATTAGAAAGTTACTGGTGAATTTCGAAATAAATGCTTAGTACAATGTCAAGCGGGTATTTTATGATCACAAAAAGTATCATAACAGAACGCTAATTAGAAATATGACGTGATAATTACAACAATATAACAAGTATAAGACCGAAAGACAGAAATAATATAAATATCTATATCTATTATTATATCTAAATATATTCACAAAGATAAAGTATGTCAGACAAAAATGTGTCCAATAGGATGTTAATAATATGATGAAAGAAATTAAATATATCTTATTTGTGTGTGATTGCAATAACATAAACGTCTTCATTATCATTTTGCCACCATTTTGCGGTTTCAGACTTATTTTCAATTCGGAATATGTGAACTAATTATTTTTTCCTTCTTCACACTGCTTTTAAGAACTAGGACGAATTCAATGAGAGTACAAGTTAAATACTTCAACTCAAACATCGTATGTAACAGCACTGCAATCGCTATTGAATAACACTAAATAAATAATGTATCAAAGTCGAAAAAGCTTACCTGTGTACACTCTCGATGTTCTGCCCTGTGGAGTTGTGGAGGAGATATGGTGTGCAAACCAAATAACGTGCGATCTATTTATACAGACTTGGTGGAAATGACGTCACTGTTCCAGGAAGATAACGCAAAATGATGACTCCCTTTGTGGTTGAGGTTTTGTTGTACAGGCAACCACATCTTTAAAGTGGTATTGCATAACAGCTTGTTATTGTGCACGTGACTTTCTGACAACAGATGTAGTCGTGATCATTTTCCTTTTATTCCAAAGTAGGATTTGTTAATTACGATGCAATCGGATGTCTTCTTTAATATTTTCTTATGTTAATTGCTATACTGCACCGAAAACTGAATGTTCAACAATATGACTTCAGCTTTTCCTAGTTTGTGGCTTCAAGGCAGGAAATGCACACGACAAAGACTTGTGAATGTGTAATTATCTTAAAGTAACATCAATGCACAGCTCAGCGGTATTTCTCTCTCCTATGGTACGAGTGTTACATCATCTGATTTTATTCTACAGTGGAGAAAGTAAAATAAGAAAGAATTGGATCAAAGCTTACCTTTCATCCATGCTTACAAATAGTATTTTATCATAATTGATTTATAATTAAATTCCAAAAATGTTTTCATAAGTAAAACAATTGACAATTAAATATACAGTATGTTTATAAATACCGACAAAGAGAGAAAGCTACTGGATATATCATTTAACAAACAGGTTAAAAATATGACGGATATTATAAATATAAAGGAACATATTGGAAATAATTAAACTAGTCGTAATAGACAGATGGTAGTTTAAGAGAGGTGGTGGATACGGGCATTAAGTAGATTAGACGATAGGTAGTAGTTATAGAGAGGTGGTGGATACCGGCATTAAGTTGATTAGACGATAGGTAGTCGTTATAGAGAGGTGGTGATTACAGGCATTAAGTTGATTAGACGATAGGTAGTAGTTATAGAGAGGTGGTGGATACAGACATTCGATAGGTTAGACGACAGGTAGTGGTTATAGAGAGGTGGAGGATACAGGCATTAAGGAGATTAGACGACAGGAAGTAGTTATAGAGAGGTGGAGGAAACGGGGATCAAGTTGATAAGACGATAGGGAGTAGTTATAGAGAGGGGGTGGATACAGGCATAAAGTTGATAAGACGATAGGTAGTAGTTATAGAGAGGTGGTGGATACAGGCATTCAGTAGATTAGACGATAGGTAGTAGTTATAGAGAGGTGGCGGATACAGGCATTGAGTTGATTATACGACAGGTAGTAGTTATAGAGAGGTGGTGAATACAGGCATTAAGTTGATTAGACGACAGGTAGTAGTTATAGAGAGGTAGTGGATACAGGCATTCGGTAGATTAGACGACCGGTATTAGTAATAGAGAGGTAGTGGATACAGTCATTTGGTAGCTTAGACGACAGGTAGTAGTTATAGAGAGGTGGTGGATACATGCATTTAGTAGATTAGACGACAGGTAGTAGTTATAGAGAGGTGGTTGATAAGGCATTAAGTAGATTAGACGACAGGTAGTAGTTATAGAGAGGTGGTTGATACAGGCATTAAGTAGATTAGACGATATGTAGTAGTTTTAGAGAGGTGGTGGATACAGGCATTCGGTAGATTAGACGAAAGGTAGTAGTTATAGAGAGGTGGTGGATACAGGCATTAAGTAAATTAGACGAAAGGTAGTAGTTATAGAGAGGCAGTGGATACAGGAATTAAGTAGATTAGACGATAGGTAGTAGTTATAGAGAGGGGGTGGATACAGGCATTCGATAGATTAGACGACATGTAGGAGTTATAGAGAGGTTGTGGATACAGGCATTAAGTAGATTAGACGATAGGGAGTAGTTATAGAGAGGGGGTGGATACAGGCATTCGATAGATTAGACGACAGGTAGTAGTTATAGAGAGTTGGTGGATACAGGCGTTCGGTAGATTAGACGATAGGTAGTAGTTATAGAGAGGTGGTTGATATAGGCATTAAGTAGATAAGACGATAGGTAGTAGTTATAGAGAGGTGGTGGATATAGGCATTAAGTAGATAAGACGATAGGTAGTAGTTATAGAGAGGTGGTGGATACAGGCATTCGATAGATTAGACGACATGTAGTAGTTATAGAGAGGTTGTGGATACAGGCATTAAGTAGATTAGACGATAAGTAATAGTTATAGTAGTTATAAACAGGTTATCTCTTAGGCAGGTTTGGTTGTTATGCACGAGTGGATTAATATTACAACCCGTGTATAACGGAGATTAAACTATAGAAAAGACATGTTGTAACTATAGATTAATGACCTATTAGACACGTTTTACTGAAGTTAAAGGTGAGTCTAAGACAGGTATAGACATGTATTAGATATATATACAAAATCTTGTAACTGGTTTCTTTGAAAGGTGCGATTTAAGTTATTGATAGGGATAACCTTATAATTATTGGTCTCTAAGGCAGGTTTGCCTGTAGGTATCAACAGGTGTTAGCTATAGTTAACTGGTATCTAAGACAGGTTGTTTTATTATCATAGACATGGGGTTCCTATTGATAATTCGTTTCTATACAGATAATAGTCTTAGACAGACAGTCTCTAGGGAAAGTGTAGTTGTTATAGGTGATGCCAATGGAAAGATGGTATTGAAGGATGTATGTGATTTTGGTGAATTGTTTTGTTATGATCGTATGCAGAACAAATTCATACAATATCTTCCAATTGTGCACAATTGATATTATTCATTCAAAATTTCATTCATTCAAAATTTTCGCAATAAAATCTTAGGTAACCCCAAGACCTTGACTTTAAATGTAGAAATATTCTCTCCTTTACCATTTCTTTAACAGATTTAAAGCCTGATAAAAAATTCCGCTATTAAACGTTATTTTTTATATTCAATAGATCAAACGAAAATCTGTTTCTCTTTCTAGAACAGCCAAATAATTGAGCGTCCATGTGCTTTTTTGGCCATTTTTGGCACTTTCGTGTTATTTTTCACCTACTGTTGGGTCAAAAATTAAAACAATGCTTCAGTGACACTAAATAATTAAAACAAAAAACAGGATGTATAATTTTGCATATTGTTTTCATTATATAGAACTTTATAAACTTGTACAGCAAAAATGGACTTGCTACAATTAAATTGGCGTTAAAATGACAATACAAGTGATTAATCTTGTATCAGAAAAAGTAAAAGTTTGGTATTTTAATGGACACAAGACACACATATTTTTAAAAAGTCCGTCGAATAGGTCATTTTTTGAAAATCCTTCATCAAATGTTCCGCAAACAACAGGCATATGCTTTTAACACATTTTTAGATGCTTGTTTGCTATTAAGATTTATTATGATTTGTTTAATATTATGAAAACCTGTTACAGGTGATCTAAACGAGATTCAGACCAAATTTAAACATCAGAAGAGTGAACCCTTAACGTAGGTTTGACTGTAGTTTGACTGTGGTAGGTAGTAGCTAAAGACAGGAACTATATAAACCAACTTTGATTGTATCTATAGATTATTTACAATGTTGATACATACAATAGACGAAATTGCAGCTTCATTAAAAATACTCTCGATGTGTTAAGCCGTTATATGTTTTCTGAGTTTTAAGACATTCTTTTCAATATAATAAATCATTTGAATGTTGATATTGCCCTTTGTAATTTTAATCTAGCTTACCGGTTTTTCAGTGTCTTTCCTTAAAAATATTGGTCTGAAAAAGACATGTTATGACTTATGCACTAATTAGAGTGCACCTAACGAACCTAACACCACATTGCTATATTTAGATTATAACACAGAATTTAATAATGTAGAAGTGATATGAATAAATGTGTTCTCATTATTAACTTATTTTATAACAAATTAAATTGAACCACTTTTAGTGGATCGCGTGTGTATGTTGCGATGATCAGCGTTCTAAATCGCACATTCCTACATGTAGACCGTGCGCTTTGCGTTTGAATGAAAGTGACTAATAAGATAAGAGTCACGTGACAAATCATATTTAAGTGAGGTCATTGCCTTTGGTTGTTTTGGTGTACTGTGCACTGATCATATGTGAGAGTGCGGCCTCGGAGAGATCATGGGCCCGATGCACCATTATACAACTAGCTGTGCCAGACAGACCTATTGTGGCCAGGAGATATTAATGAAAGTACTTTTATCAAAAAATATTTACGCAACTCTAAAGATGCAATAATTATAAAGTTTAATGTTTTGAATTCATTTTGTTTTAGGGCATACATGAAGTTTTGAAGTTTTGATTGTTTGTACAGCCATTCTGTTTGTTGTTATGTTAGTATACATAAAACGATAAAAAGAGTGCTTATATGTTTAATATATGTTGTTTTTGTAAGGTGTACTACAGGTGATGAAGCAGACAGACCATCGTTTTGGAATCCCTCTTCGCAAGGAAAAGGTAGGTATTTTGCGATGGTTAAATGGTTTGTATAATGCATATATACTGTAAGCGTTAGCTGAATATAAAGGACTGTATATTAATGAGTATAAATTAATAACATATGTTTTACTGTTACAATGTACATGTAATTCAAATGAATTGATAGAGCTAAGGATTAAACTAAAGAAACACATGTTGTAACTATCGAAATGAGGTTCGATAGAAATAACAGATACATGGGTATATCGTTATTGTTGATTTCATGTTGTAGGTTTATATATATTTAATAATACATGGCGGAATTGAACCCTGAGTTACAAGCTCAAATTTTTGCTTGAAAAAACACTACTACTAAAACATGAATCACTACCACTTTTCTGCTGCTGATGTCATTACTGCCAGGCGATTAAACATCACAAATCAAAATCTGACATTAACTGATATTTATAATCTAGCAATTAATGAAAGGTTGTCAATTAATGAAATGAGAGAATTGATTCACACCTATACTATTAAATCGTCATATAACCTCCCCCAGTCAGTTGCTTCATTTTGAAACCAAGTAGGTGTTTTCCTTGAAACGTCTTGGCAGTGTACATTTTTAACAATAATAATAAAAAATAATAGTCAGGTTTTATCGGCCCCTTAGATAGACAGAGAAGGTTCGATTTAAAATAGCTTTATTGATTTTGAAGAGTCTGATAAATGTGAAGGAGAGTCTCTAACTAAAGAGAGAAGTTTGTTCCATGCACTGATTGATTTAGAGAAGAAATAGTTTTTGGGATAGTTCTAATGGTTATAGTGTCGATTGAGATGAACTGGAAGGGGAAAGAAATGTTAAATATAAGTAGGAAGTGGGAGTTCATATTTGATCATGTTGAGAAAGTTGAGCCTAATATTTTTCCGCCTGTGGACTAGATTTTCCTAAATCTAGCTCTTGCAGAAATTTGTTTTGTTAAGAAGCCTATAAACCATCGATATGTGTAATTGCAACTCTTCTTTGAACTTTGTGTGCATTTGACACACATTACCATTTCTTATTCTACAATTTACCTTACCACAGATTTATATACTTTTCTAAACCATTAAAGGGCAAGTTAAAACTGACTAAAAGTATGATATTCAGAACTTTGCTTCTACAAATAAATTCATTATGTGAGTAAACCAACTAAAGTTTCTGTATTATCCATACTGCAATGTTTTTTGCATACCAACTAGTTACGTGTAATTCATTCCAAAATAAATCCGCATTTATTTGAAATCGCTTTTATTTGGCTGGTAATGTTTCATATAAACGAAGTCAAATAGGGCCAACTGACTTCAAAATCGTCAGTTCGTGTTTTATTGGATGTTCGCCATACAAAAGAAAACCCTGACAACTATGAGAGATGTCAAAGTTTAACTTTCTACACAAACAATGTATGTATTAAACGTGTTGCAACGTTTCAAGACCGACCCGTCTCTTTGTTAAACCTGGGCAAAGGGACCAGTCGGTCTTAAATTGTTGCATTACGTTTAACACGTACATTGTTGGTGTAGAAATTAAATCTTTGATATTACATATTTCCAAACTGATGAATCTCATTAAAGACAACTAAGAAAGATTTTGACAAATTTGAATAGAATTCCATTGTCGTGTACCATCTGGACCAACTTCGAAACAGAAACAAGAAGGCGATGTGTATATTGTCCATATATATCGTCCTTTGGTAAAAACTGATTCAATGCCATCTTTGTGTGACACCAGAGAAATTGCCGATTTGTGCTATGATCACCTTCGTCGTGATTAAAGAAATTCTTAGCAAATTAGAACTATATGTATATATCAAATAATTGTTTTTACTAAATATGTATATATTATATCCCTAAACTCATTTGTTAGGAACATATTTATTCTTTTGTAATTGTATTTATTTCCTGTAGTGTCAATTATTAGTATTGCTACATGTTTTTAATTCTTGTACATTATTGAATGATGGATTTTAATCGTAATGCGTTTTTGATATTAATGGAAACCAAGCAACGTTTATTATTATTAACATTGCTATTGATGAAAATGGTTTTCTTTTAAAATGTTCTGTTCATCTTCATCATGTTACCTGACTATAATAACTGGTTAGTATAATAAGTACGATTTAGACTATCCTATATAGCAAAAGTCTTTTCAATATCTTAATGTGGAAATGAATTATCGTTATGCCAAATGTATTGCTGGTCCTTTTTACAAAAAACATTGCCCGAAAAAGTTGGATATAAAATATATTGTTCTCCTACAAGTTTTGTGAAATATTGACAACATATACTCGGAATCATATGTACAATAACACTTTGATACATAGAAACAAACCACACTTCATAACAATAGTCAAAAATATAACTTTGATGTAGATTATTTCATAATCCCTAGACCAGGTGTGATGACCGTTATCAGTCTGAATAAATGTCATTTGTTCTCGCAGTTAATGAGTTCTGCTATATCATAATTAATATTTCAAATTACAAATGTACAAACATCAAAGAGTTGACGCATTGATCGTTTCCCAAAATACATTGATGAAAAGAGAAAAGAGATCTTAGTTTGATTTTTTAGACACATTTCGCCTGCTGTCTCCATATGAGTCTCTGACCTGATAGAATTGTGTAAAAACATTATGTTCTTGAGAGAAAACAGAACAAAACGAAGAAAATGTATCGACACATAAAGGAAAAATCACACAATACACCAGAGGTAAAACATGGTGTTCCGGAATTAGGATACAGATCATTTGACACTTTTTTTTCAAATATTTAAACCAGTGCTCTAAAATAGCGAATTAACTGTGTCATGTAAGTTTAAGGAGTAAGAGAGAATCGTTTCTGTTTCTGCAAAGAACGTTTACGATCCAAATCTCCAATAATCACATTTGACATAAGGGGTTGACATGCAGGCCCCGGTTACTCAATGGTTGGTTAGAACTAACCATTTGTGAGGGACAATTTTTAAGATATGAGTACAGAAAAATCAGAACATTTGCCATCATTTAAATGCAATAGACTGGTTGAGAGAAATAAGATGAATGTGTTTTTAAGATTTATTATATTTTGTAATCCCTTGTTTCTTCTTGGCAATAATTTGATTTTTAACTAACCACTGGTTAACAAAAGCCAACATCTGAGCAACCGGGCCTGTGCTATTACTTATGTCTGGTCATAAATTTGGGATTTCGCCAGATTTTGATTGATCAAAACACACAAATCAATATCGAATGCTTTTGTTTTATTAGTTACAGTTACAATAGAAAACATAGGAAAACATTGAATTTGGATGACTAGTAACTTCCTCCTGAAATAAAGAATAGATGTCATTAAAATAAAGAAATAGAAACCTTAGATATATGCTAATGTATTACTTTCACCCTACAAAAAAATTGTTTATGTAAACAAAATATTACTAAGAATACGAATATGAAAGATATAAATGGTATGTCTATTCAGTAAAATAACTGTCTTATATAACTGTAATCACCATAAGCATTTTTTCTAACTTGATCTTTAAATAAATAGTATTCAGGGAAAATAAGCAATATCCTATATTTCTCTTAACATGAAAGATAAAATGTTCAAGATATTAGCAGAAAATTGTGATTCAAAACGTATTCTAATAAAAACAAATGAACTGAAATGATATCTTCATAACATACCCATTCCTCCGTTTCCACCGCCAATTCCACCAAAGGGGCTTCCTCCCATACCACCGCCCATTCCTCCTTTTCCAACACCCATTCCGCCGAAAGGTCCACCTCCCAATTCACCGAAGGGACCACCACTCATTCCACCGCCTATTCCTCCTTTTCCGCCACCCATTCCACCGAAAGGTCCGCCTCCCATACCACCGCCCATTCCACTGAAAGGTCCGCCTCCCATACTTCCTCCGAAGGGACCGCCTCCCATACCACCTCTCATTCCTCCTTTTCCTCCGCCCATTCCACCGAAGGGTCCGCCACCCATACCGCCGGAGGTTCCGCCTCCCATATCACCTCCCATTCCTCCTTTTCTTCCGCCCATACTACCGAATGGACCGCCGCCCATACCGCCGGAGGGGCCGCCTCCCATACCACCTCCCATTCCTCCTTTTCTTCCTCCCATTCCACTGAAGGGACCGCCTTCCATACCGCCGAAGGGACCGCCACCCATACCGCCTCCCATTCCTCCGTTTCCGCCGCTCATTCCACCGAAGGGTCCGCCACCCATACCGCCGAAAGGTCCACCTCCCATACCGCCGCCGCCCATTCCTCCTTTTCCGCCCATTCCTCCTTTTCCGCCCATACCTCCTCCGTTCATGCCTCCTCCGTTCATGCCTCCCATGCCACCAAATGGACCACCACCCATACCACCTCCCATTCCTCCCGAGCCACCTCCATATACTCCTGTAAATGGAAATGGTGACATATATAGACTTGAATGTATTTATATAGAAAAAATACAGTAAGAGTGATAAATGTAATGCTAAGAAACAGCAACGGCAATTGTGTACACGTTTTTTAAATTCACGATTCTAAACGTCGGCAATAACTACGTAGTTTATAGTGTTTTACAATCCATACTATTTATCACGAGATAATGATATATACAAACTTTGCATCTATAAGTTTCCAAGATGATGATGTTTACGTTGAATTGATTTGGGAGGAGATATTGATTGCATTTTAATATCTTAAGTGTGTCACAAAGGTATCACAATTGGAGAGTTGATATTATCGTTATAGGAACGGGTCATCATTCCCAACCCTAGGTAGAGATACTAATGACTATTTAAATACGTCACAATTACAATCCTATTACGTCTTTCATTTATTTTCATTTGGTGTAAAAAGCGCAGCGTGTTTCTTGTAGTACCCTAGGGGATGAAAAGAAATAATTCATGGCTAAAACAGGAAACAAAGCAAGTAAGTGTAGGAGACCAATGTCTTTTACATGTAGATGTAATCTTAACTTATGGAAGTTGCATATTTTCATTCCAATAATATCTATTATATCGTTTTCATGAAATATTATATACTTCATTACTGACACAATTTAAGTTTTCATATAAATGTCCTTTTTGTGTGGTTCTATTGTTCCAAATATTCCAGTAACTTCTAATGGATCAATTCTAATACTTCTGATGTCGTTCAGGTGTCAAGTTTTAAACATAATGAAGGGAACCTTTTGTGTATTAATTACATCTTAAAGTATAAACATAAACCAAAAATATATTAAAAAAACTTTGTAATTGATAGTATTACTTTTAGCACCATATTACAATAACATCATGCATGACAATTAGACTGCAGTTCATTTTTTAAAAGGAAGTAAACAATTCAACATTTATCTGGTAAGGTTGTTTATTATACAATTTTATGGATTGTGTAACTTAAAATTTTGTTACACGTACTTGTATCTCAATAGAAAATAAGCGCCTTTGAATATAGTGAAAAGAAAGTAAAGTCCTGTTGTCAATTAAAATTGACATCTATCGATGAGATAGAATTCTATATTTAACATTAAAAATATACTTAATGATAGTGTTGGGTAATATATATAGATATATTAAATAATTATATAGTATTTCAAGAAACTAAGGTTAAATACAATGATTTTATTTAGAAAATATGGAACACTGAGCACCAATTCAGCAAGATTAAACGATAAATTGGAAAGTATTTGATACAGTTTTGGAAGTTTTATACCAAGCTTAATTTATGATATTGATTTAATCTTGACATCATTTTATATTTTTGTTTGTAATTGAGATGAAACAGCAAAAACAATAAATTGGGTTTGTAATATTTCCTCAACTCCCAAAAAATTGCAAGAGAGGCTTTTTTGCGCTGTTTTTTTATTAACAGAGAATATGGTAAATAATTTTGTAGTCAACCTTTTCGCGAATATTAAGTTCCAGTGAACAATGTTAAAATAAACTCTCGTGCTCAGTCAAATTACTCACTGGTATACGTAAAATAAAATAAAACTAACCTGCTGAGCTAACAGCGACCACGAGACAGGAGGCTAGACAGATAAATGTATTCATTCTGATATACTGAAATAGAAAAGAAAGATGATTAAGACAAAATACAAGGAACAATTGCTTCAAAGATTAAACAAACAAACGCCTTATAATTAGAGGATAGATTCACAAAAATATATCTTAACAATAAAATATCGTTAAAATAAAACACGTTTATAACAATTCCCCCGAAAAATAGTTTTCTGCAGTAAAACACTAATATAAAGACTCCAGGGGTCCTACAAAATATTTCTGTACAGCAAATGTTTATAACAAATGCCGTTCGATCATCAATCACATTGTGACGTTTCACCCAATCACACCTACATATTAATCCACCACCAGGACCAAAGATATTCAATACCAAATTCAGGTACGATATTTTGCTATTCATTTTTAGGATTTACTTATTCTGGACTCACAAACAACTTGTAAGTTGTTTGAGCAGGCAAATATTAGGATAATGACATACCTACTAATTATTAATTAAAGTATGAACGCTTAGGGACAGATTTCTCCAAAAAATGATATGGCACCATTATGTTATATATTTCGAAATCAAACATATATGAATAGTCAATATACTTGATAAAGAAAAAAAGGGTTTTCATCATGTATCTGATCCAATTGCTGAATCATTCCTTACAACCTGTCAAATCATCTTACCTGTTTCAGTAGAGACAGTTTGGGTACGGCGGTGTCGATGTGCTGGAGGAATCGATGTGTTGAGAAGATCTATTCGTGTATATTTATACCCATTATGACGGAAGTATGCAGAAATTGCAGCACAATGTCAACTTGTAAAGGTCAATTAAATGTGTACCATCGATTATTTATTGATGTCCGTGTGAATGTAGCCTGCTTATAGGCACAATTGCCGAGCCTTTGTTGTAAACGAGACACGGAGTTTGCACTTTGTGTGTCAAGGGCTCACATCTTAGGTAACATTATCACCACATGGCACGTTTATATGTATGCCGGCCCATTGTTAGACACACAGATTAGGATCACCGAGTCATGCTGAAGTTGCATACCTTACTTGCAATTTAACATATCATTACCTGTACATTAATGCTAGATCGTTTCATTACTTTCATATACAACGTTTAACATTAGGGCGTAGAGTTAGTATTGTCTTGTTAAAAGTATATCGAGATTTATGTTTTGGCTTCGATAATTATTTACAAACTGTGTTTGTATCAAAACAGTAGATGTTAAGTAACAAAACATGCTTCTCCTAGTATTTTCAATAAAAAATTTTTTTACTGACGTTCAACACAACGTTTCTGTCGCCACATGTAAGTATTGCCTTTTGTATTTTGTTAAACTTAATTCGTTTTTAAACTTTAAAACGTATTAGTAAGTCAGTTATATCTGCTCACAGTTATAAGAAGATGAAGAAGTAAAACAAAAAAATATCATTTTTGATTATTAATGAAAACAATTCATGTAACTTACATTCGTGCCCATGTCGTATTTAATTTATTAGGCGAGTCCAATGGATTCAATATAATATTCTTTTTATCAGATCTTATTCATAATTTCAACTCCATGTACCAAGTGCATTATTTTTCATTTGAGCTTGGGTAAACGAATGGTATTAATAATCTTTTCGGTATAGTTGGTCAATAAAAAAATGTTTATCGACACGCTGTGAATGGCACGATGATCATGAAAATACTGCCTATACCGAAAATGTACTTTCTTTTTCCTGTTGTTTAAATTTTTTTTGTACAGAGAAATAATAGTTCTTATATGAGGTATTAACGACACGCCACTAAACTAACAGTTAAGATATAAGCATACACTGTTATGTAACTGATTTGCATTCTTCTTTCCAGACACATGTCAGAGAAAATTATATACAATACTAAGTTTTGCCCAACATTTTAAATAAATAAATTCATTTATACTTAAACAAAAGTTTCATTGTCTTCTTAAACTTTTAAAGTTGTCAGGTACAGAGAAGGTAATTAAATTTATAAACTGTTATGTATTGCTTCAAATGTGTAAACGGCGACATCTATGACATGGACATTTGCTGTAATTGTTATCTCTTCTTTAAGTTGGAGTAGACGTTGGGATTTCCACTAAAAATAATTAAATGACTTTATAATGAAATCAAAAAAAATTAAAATGATATGCTCGGTAATATATCGTGCTTTATTGTGGTCATGTTTGTTTATTTCCTCATGATATTTTTGCAGACAATTGTGGAAGTTTTCTATATATATCCATAATTTAAGTTTACAAATACCATCTTTTCTTGACTTACACCTTCTTGAATCAGGAACAGGTCAAAGTTTAGTCCTTGTGATGCCGAGGGTATTAAACACATAAATGACTGGTTATAACACATATTGTTAAGATGTTATTACAATACGAATTAAAAATTCCGTATTGATCTATGACAATCAGGTGATTGCAATGCATATTTGTCAACATCTCAGTAACATTACTGTTAACATATCATTCATATTACTGTCAACATGGCAATAACATTACTGTCGACATTTCATTACGATTACTGTAATCGTCACATTAAGGTTACTGTCAACATAGCATTCATATTATTGTCAACATAACATTAAGATTACTGTTGACATGGCAATAACAATTTTGTAGAAGACCTTGGGATTAAAGGCAAATGTGCATGATAGGTGGCTGTATTAAAACACAATCTTATTGCAATACAAATTTCTCTTAATGGACACATCTAAATGTTATTGTACTTAACATCGAACTAATCTTTCGTAACACCATTAGGAAAAATATATAAGCAGATATACAAAAAAATAGTTTGAAAAATATGTTTATTCATAAAACACACATTAAACAACTCAAAAGATAGTTTAGCTTGAAAAGGTTATAAAAGAAACGAGAGTTCATCCATCGGAAAAGTGATCGTTTCAAATAACCACAGTTGATCTTGCACAAGACATATGTATATGCGTCGTCGGCCGTTCACCTGTTCACTGTATATTGTAAATGATAAATGATTTAACTATTACCGTCAACACTATAATCAAGCCTATGTATTAAACAGTTAGTGATACATTCCACCGCCAATTCCTCCCATAATCATACTTCCATACGGGAAGTAGCCTCGACCACTTCCGCGCATGCTCGTATCGTCTCCTTTGTAACTGAATTGCCATTCACCTTTACAAAAAGAAAACATAAGATAGATCAAGCAATGAAGAAATAAAAGACAACACATGCATTGAACAGCTATCTGATATGTATTTGTTATAGTGATGATAAACAAAGAATCAATATTTTAAAAAAAATCCATTTTTCGAACAATGCAGAACCTTTTATTGAGCTCTTAAGTGCAGTGTTCAGCTTGTTATTTTAAGTTTTCCACACTGGACAGATATTTTGGCGTAATTCTGAACTCCAAGATAATGTGCAATAATATTAGGCCAAAACACATGTCACCAGTTTGCGATGACTTCAGTTTACTGTGTAGATCAGTCAGCACTATGTTATTGGATAATGGATGACAGTACTCGGTTACAGCTTTATTACACTGTAGTTCAGTACTGTATATATAGGATCCTACATGAGTTTCCATTTCATATGAGATATATGAAACGAGTCTAAGAATTTTTCAATTTAGCGAGCCTCTGGCGAGCTAAAATGAAAAATTCGTGATGAGTTTCATGAGTTTCATATGAAATGAAAACGAGTATAAGATCCTTTTTATCACATAATCAAGATTTGTGGCATTTATCCGTGTAAAACAACAATTTTCATGCAACCTTGAAATGTAAAAAGCCGCCATTTTGTGACGTCATGCACTTGTCCTTGGCATGACGTCACAATTGAAACAATTGAACCTTACAACCAATCACAGGGCTGATAGGTCATATTGCATGAGTTAATATGCAAACAAATATGACATGAGTATATTCACTGTATAACAAAGTACATTATGTGATAAAACACAGTACATTATGTGATAAAACACAGTACATTATGTGATAAAGTATGCATTGTTGATATAATACGTTACAGTTAAGTACTCCATAGCGTTTCTAATTGTGTAAATTTAAGACTATATAGCAGTTATAATATTGTGAAGTTACGTACTCTTTAATAGTGTACAATTAATTGATCTAAAATATTGTACAGTAAATACTCTATAATATTTTCAATTAAGCACTATATAATATTGTACAATTAAGTACAATTTACTCTAAAATGTTGTGCAATTAAGTACAATAAAATGTTTGCAATTAAGAAATGTATAATATTGTAAAGTAAAATGCTCTATAGCACTTATAATATTGTGAAGTTAAGTAATCTATATTATTGTACAATTAAGTACTCTATAATATGGTACAATTTAGTACTCTATAATTTGTTGGGTAAAGTATTCTATAGCAGTTATACTATTGTAAAGTACTCTATAGCAGTTATACTATTGTAAAGTACTCTATAGCTGTTATACTATTGTAAAGTACTCTATATCAGTTATATTATTGTTAAGTACTATATAGCAGTAATACTATTGTAAAATACTATATAGCAGTTATACTATTTTTAAGTACTCTATAGCAGTTATACTATTGTAAAGTACTCTATAGCAGTTATACTATTGTAAAGTATTCTATAGCAGTTATACTATTGTAAAGTACTCTATAGCAGTTATAATATTGTAAAGTACTCTATAGCAGTTATACTATTGTAAAGTACTCTATATCAGTTATATTATTTTCAAGTACTATATAGCAGTAATACTATTGTAAAATACTCTATAGAAGTTATACTATTGTAAAGTACTGTAAACACTCTATGGTTATAATAAAGTACAGCATAGTGGTTGCATTTTATTTCGCGAAGGGCATTTTTCAATTATGCTTTAGATAGATTATCTTTTAAGATTGATTTAATTTCGCTTTATTTGTCGATTAGAGTCGATTGTTCATTCGTTTATTTCGCGAATAATGATTCAGACAGATGCTAATTTATTGCTAAAAGAATTATCGCGATCATGAGATTTATCATATTCATTGTCTAAACACATTCCGATAATTCATGACTCTGTGGGATATTTACCAACGTAAATAAAAACACAAAACCAAATGTAGTACGCTCTCTAGCTCAGGTGTATTTTGTCCTGCTAACTAACAGTATATAACATACCTCTGTCCCCTCTCCACATGTCCTGTGACCACACGACCGAGGATGTCAGAGTAACAAATAGTACAACAGCCAAACAGACGAGTTTCATCATCAATCTCTGTAAACAGAGCAAAACAATGTTAGTTTAAGTACGTAAGTGTCTTCAGCGTTGTTATAATGGTATGATTTGTCCTGACCCGTAAACAAACATTATCAACTTAATAAGTCATTTATGCTCTTTGAAAAAAAATTATTTGAAGAATATATAAAAAGTTTACAAACTTTTAATTATTATTCTTTAAAACTTATAATAACAAAATTAAAACTCAATTGGCAGGACAAAACAAATGATTTAAGCTCAGGTGAAAGAGAATGGCAATATCTATATATGTATATCATATTAAGAACATCTTTCATAAAACATCTCAGAACGTATTTAAGAAGACAAGATAATGTCAAAATGCAAGCAAAACTTAATTTGGAATAAACTCAAAATTGATGAAACTGGAGAAAAAATATCACCAAAAGAAAAATTCCTATAGAGATGCTTGAAAACACTTTTCGGGCATTAGTATCACGTTACCCTAGTTTGTAACGAAGAAAGTAGTTTTATACATTTACCTTAGTTTATTAGAAACATACCTATCTTAACAAAGCCATCGGTCATTTTTGACTGTAATATCTTACTTACCATGATAAAGCCGATGGGACGTTTGAGTGCAGGCAAAATAAACAGGTCGATACAGCAGATTTTTCTGACTAGTGGACAGTGGTCAGTGTTTTTATAGGTAATTAAGTCGTTTATTTCCTGTCCGGTTTCTTTGTAGATGACAAAATCGTGAATAAAGATAATCAAAAAGGAAATGCTATCTAGCTAGATATAATTAAAATGTCTTTTATTTACGTTAGACACAACTTCGGACATGTCCAGGGGTTAAAACCTGGCCTTCGCATCATTTCAATCTGACCACACACATGTGTTTTGTTGTATAACATGCATCCAAAGATATAATGAACAGGGGTGAGTTAGAGGTGAACATTGTAAAGAGCGGTGTCTAAGTGTATGCGAGGTCAAATGTCACTGAACTCCTGGAGCATACAAGGTAATAGTGATAGCTTATACGTAAAATGTCGTATATTTCATGTAGGTAAATCATGCTTAGAGATATTTTGACCAGACATTAGTGCTACGTGTCACTGAACATTTGTTTATTGTTTAAGCTAGGTTTTCTTAAAACAAAAGCATACAACATTAAATTTTCTATAGGAAAATACAAAGGTAAGTCTGAAAATATCTGAAAAACAGTATTTTCTAGAATATATAATTCTCTTATAGAGGCTGTTGATATTTGTGTGCATTGGGGAGTATGCCGGCCAAATAAGTGGAGTATTATAATGTTATTTATCATGGTTGTCTATATGTAGCAATCAATACAGACGTTTCGATTTTTACTACGGAAAATGTTTAAAATGAAAATCTCATGTGTTAAAAGTATTGTCCTTAATATGTTTTTTATAAATTGTTACTATCGAATGTTTCAAGAATTTTTCAACAATGATCGTTGTCATTCCTAATAATTATAAATTTGTAAAACAAAGGCCAATTTTTTAACTTAAACAATCATATATATAATAAAATAATTCATAGAGTAAACATATATCATGTTTAGCACAAATAACGATTATGTGTAAGATAACATTCTGTAAATATATATCATGTCTAGTATAAAAATGATTTTGTGAAAAAACACATTCTGTAAATATATTTCATGTTTAGCAATTAATATGTGGCTAAATGGCAATTTTTTTGTCGTTACGACTACGAGGTTTATCAAAGGAACTTTATTTAGTTTAATAACAACGCTTAATAAACATTGTTTTTGTAATCAATAAATGCTTCACCATCTATACTCCAACATGATAAAACTTTGTAAAAATATTATATATATTTTTTTCAACTACCATTTACCATTCACCTGGTGATACATAGATTTCAAAGAGAAACGTGCTTTATGCTGCACGTTTGAATTGAATCATATACATTTGTAATAGACCAATTCTCTAAGTCTAATGATGAGGAAACTGTTGAGGTTAAGCTGAAGTTTAATAGTGAAGAAGAGCTAAGCTGAGTCACTGACCCTATCGTCAATTTATTAATGTTTTCTGGTTTCATACCAGTGGTAGCATTTTTCTACACACAAAAATCAGATATAATACTTTGTTCATATTCTCCATATGTCCGGTGCCATTGGTTGACATTTATATTACATTAATTTGCAAGTGTAGTTAAACACAAGCCTTCCAGTCTGCAGTATATGACATCACCATACAATGACTTCAAGTGTTTAAAAATGATTCTGTGAAAAAGGAACCCATCACAGATCATTTTTATTTACCTATTGTTTATTGATGTCTGTAACAAAGGAAGGATAAGGTTTTTTTCCGTTTTTCACATAAAGATGTCAGAAAATCCCCGTATGCAGTAAGCGGACTGGTGGCTACAACGAAAAGCACATTCAAATTGCAATTTGAAAAGACATTGCATTTGTTTTAGTGATTTGTGCTTGTTTATATTAAGTATTTAAATGATTAATTTTGAGACTATTGAAGATAGGAACATCTATTTATAGATTTTATAGAAAATGTATCTGTATATACACGTATTATCAATAAAGTTGCTATATACCAGTGTAATATATTAAATTGTTGTGTCAAAAATCAGAGAATGCTCGAAGTTTATGAAAAATCAAAAAAACAGCATAGGATGTTTACTTCAGTTGGTTTGTTCGACTAATAATGTATTTGCAAATTAATTTCTAAAAAATGAAAATTTCTTTCAGATTTCAATGTCCAATATATCAGAAAAAAGACCGCCTGAAAAATAATGCAAGTTTAATACAAAATTGTTCCTATCCGAAAAGTAAACAGAATGTCCTTATACTCCAAATTTAGTTTGTTGATACAAAAAGCCAAACAAGGACAATATTTGACAGCAACGTACATGTATAGCCACTTTGTCCATTGAAGACTCCAAAGTGAGACGAAATGTATGACCAACGTTTTACTAGTTTTGTTTTGTGCATTCTAATTGCTGATCATTGACGTAAATTGTTTTGGTGTGTCGCCATGCATGGCATGTAGCTACCTCTTAACGGTGAAATGTCCTCTGGAACAACAGAAAGACACGACTGCAATACTAACTATTACGAATAAGATATATCGATTTGATATTTTTCGAACGGTGTACGGTAAACAAAGAGGAATGCCATGATATAAGACATGCCGACAAGAAATCAGCATCCAATGGATATACGACGTGGAAGCCTTTCTCGTTATTGCTGTTTAAGAAGACAATCACAAGCAAATCACTATTTGATTCAAGAAGCTCATAAAGAGGTTTGGCACGATACGAACAATATTTTGAGATTCAAGCAGGATATGGTCAAGAAAATTATTTGTAATAGTAGCAGATGAGATGAGAAATATAAGAGTTTGCACATCAAAACATGCAAACAAAAACAAATCCAGAAGAAATTCGTACTTTCGTGTTATAATGCAATCTCGTCAAGTAGAACATTTTAGGTTGAAAACATAAGTGCAATGCAAATCGATGTACGGAAAACTGACATTTTAGTAGAATCACTACAATTACCTTTGTTTTTTATACAGGTAATGAAACTCTACTTCTGACTTGTGTCTTCCATTCCCATGTAATAAACCCGAAAGGCGTGAAGTCATCGACAGAATCGTGAAAAGTGCACAGCAATATTTTTTATTGTAGATGACTGATTTTAGTTATATGTGATCTGATAAGGATGTGTAATGCGGGTACGTTTGTACACTGACTTATAATGATGAAGCATCTATTTTGATAGGAAGTTTATCCTTGTTAATGTAGATCATTAATGCTATTAAAACCTCTTGATCAATACAAATGTTAATCATTGTGTTGTTTTATAAAGAACGTTCAAAGGCTATTGACACGGGGCTATTTGTAGATTTCGTTAACAGATAGTTCGACAAACCCGAATAGAAAAAAAGTGTCATGGTATATGTATCGTTTTATTGAGAGTGAAGAATAACATTTTCCGAAGAACATGACTTGTGCATTCATGTCCCGGGCTGTAGGATATAACAATTCCAACAAAGTTTTTTTTTTATTTTAAAAAACCCGAGGCTTTGCCGAGGGTTTCGCCAATTTTTAAAATCCCGAGGGTGAAATTTCCCTATCCTACACCATTGGGCATGAAAGAGTATTTTTCTCTCATTCCAACCACCAGGATAAGCCCCGAAACTATGTAAATGCGTTTGGACTGGCCTCCGTTTTAAAAATATCATTTTTTCCCCTGAGATGTTTAGACGAAAACGAATCAGCCAGCCATATTAAGCATATTCCATATTTGCAAACAATGTTTGCGCAGAAAAAAATAATCACATCTTTCTAACGTGTACGGTAAATATATCGTAAAAGGTTTTAATTTAATCACGCCGCCTTTTCCGCATTGCGGCATCGGAGAGTTCCAAATTCGTGACGTCACGTCATTGATGAGCCATTGCGACGTCACGTCACGTGGAATGGGGTGTAAGATAGAAATTTCCAAAACCTCTTTCTTACTCTGGACAGCTCTATCTTACACACAGAGAAATGAGAGAATATTATGATCCATAAGGCAGGACGGCTTTGTATACTATGAAGCAAAGATTCAGTTTGAAGTATACATATTAATTAATGATATTGATGTTAAGTTTCAATGCTTTCAGTGTACGGATACAGCGAATTGGAGACCTGAAGAAAGCGTCTTCGTAAGAATAGTTCATTGACATTATAGAATGTAGACGCTTTTGTTACTTAATTGAATGAAAAGTGTATTTCCTCTTTTACTACATGTGAAGAAGCGTTTCTTCCTCAAATCGAGTTAACCATTCAATACTATAAATAGTAAAATGCAGTTAACATGTTAAAGTTACCAATATAAAAATGTGAAACCGTGTAACCTAGATTAACAAATAAGCATTATATAACATGTTCTGACGTAAGATTTAGAGCTGAAGTTTATTGTTAAATATCGAAAATTTACAAATATGGATAATGTTAATAGAATGTCATGAGGAAATTAGAAGCTAGTAAAAGAGACACACAGCATGACCTAGGTAATCTAAATGAAATTTTGATAATATACTCCTATAGGGGGGGCTTTTAGACCTTAAATGTTGACATATGCTAATTTCACCTTAGGTTATTATTAAAAATAGACAAACTTAACACGAAGGTGTGAATTGTAACAAGAAAATCATAACAAACTTTAGCTTGTAGATGCATAATGAAAAAGAAACACAAATGAAAAAAAATACGTATTCATAAGAGTAATTTACAAATCCGACAATTATGGACAGCTAGAGTACAATTTTAGAAGTAGATTTTCATGTACATATTGTTATGACGATGTTTTCAATGACACTGACATTCAAAAAAGAGAAAAGGCTGAAAGTAATTATGAAATTGAATTTATATGTCAAAGAGAGTAGTATTTTATAAAATTTGACATCAAATATAAACAAAGACAGGACACTACCAGGTTAACACAATCACTACCTACCGAACGTTTTAACAAGAAAGCTAAAACAGCTCAAAATAAAAGAAGAGAACATTATGCTGTTGAAGGAAAGTGGTAATGTTTCTATAGGATTGAGTGGAATTAGAATAGATTGTTTTAAAGCGGAGAGTACAACGCAGTAAAAAGTGTGCGTA